ACCCCCCTTTAGCCTGTGTCTGTTGCAGTGGGGGCTGGGTGTTGCGTGTCGGGGGTCAGAGTAGGCTGATAAGTTGAGGTTCAGAAGAGCAGAAAACTAGGGGGAAGGGCAGGAGAGACAGACGAGGTACCATTGTGCTTCTGAACACATTCAGCTAATCATTTTGTTATATTTAGTTGTAAATTAGTCCAAAGTGAAAACTTGATGTTTATATCTTTACTCATTGACAGGGATGCAAACTTGTCACCTTTCGGCGAAATTCGCCCTTTTGAATCCAAAATAGGTAGTTTGTGTGATTCATATAGATCATAAATACATTTTTTGGGGTATGGGGGGGGGGTCTGGGACCCGGAATAATCTGCGGCCGCAAGCTGTTATGTGCCATCATGACGCGCATGGTGTTATTTATTTATATATTATAATGAAGCTCGAGTCTTCCTGTCTGTCGGCTCTGCTGCTCCGCGATGAGGGTCTAACTTCAGCAGCTACATTACCTACGGGTGCGTTCGCTAACAGTAACTGTCCGGAGTCACTGTGGCACAGACTGGACCGCTGGTGAACAGCTGTTAGAACGGGCCGTTCAGGTGTTCAGAGCAGAGCTCCCTGTCGGAGCGGCAGAGCGTGATGTGAACTGAAAAGTTTTTCTGTCGCAATCGTTGAGCTAGCTAACTAGCATACATTGTCACTATCTGCTAACGTTAGCTTTAGCCTTCGTTTTCTAATAGTTTTTTTCATAGGCTATAAACAGAGGTGGTATAAGTATAGATCTTGTACTAGAGTAAAAGTAGAAGTACTCAGATCTTATACTAGGGTAAAAGTAGAAGTACTCAGATCTGGTACTTTAGTAAAAGTAGAAGTACTCAGGTCTTGTACTTGAGTAACAGTAGAAGTACTCAGATATTGTACTTGAGTACCAGAGTGTAGGAAAAATCCTGCAATCAAAATGTTCCTCAATTAAAAGTACAAAAGTATTATCATCAAAATGTAGTTAAAGTAGTCATTGTGCAGTTCCCGTAAAGGAGAGTGGATTTATGGAAGGCAGTGAACCAACGATAAAAAGAATGGCTCTCACCAAGTACGACTCGGTTCCCTTTGTTCGTACCAAAGAGCCGTTCAAAAGAATCGGATCGTAACATCACTAGCAGCTAGTTTGAATGACTTTGTATACTGCAGGGTAGCTTGTGAATGTACTCCAGGTGGAACTAAAGTCTGATTTAACACTTGATTATATTTCACATCATTCATCCACATCTATAAAGTAACTAAAGCTATTACATGTAGTGGAGTAGAAGTACACCATTTACCTCCGAACTGTAGAGGAGAAGAAGAACAAAGTAGCAAAACATTGAAATACTTAAGTAAAGTACAAGTATCTCAAAATTGTACCCAAGTATAGTACTTGAGTTTATGAACTTAGTTACTTTACACCACTGGCTATAAAGATAGAAAGACTAAGCCTTGCACAGAGGCATGACAATACATTTTCTAAATGCTCAACAGTGCTGCCAACATTATAAACTGACTGCTACACAATTCAAATAAATGCTTTTATATATTTCTATTAGATGTGACTCTTTGGCGTTTCTGTTATTATTAACTGCTTTAGTTGTTCTGACTTCTAAAATCATCTGTTATTCCTCATTTTAAAGCCGATATTCCGTGGGGTCGGGGGGCTCGGATCCTTGTCACCTTTTTCATACCTGATGAGTTTGCATCCCTGCATTGAGTAAAGATAAAGATTTGGGCATCTGTTTTTCCTCTAGGCCACTTTTGACTATTTGGTGATGTGAGACTGTTGTATTTGCATGATATCCAGGTATTTTGAGCATGTTAAAAAACTGTAATATGTTGCCTAGCCTTCATCTTACTTTCACATTGCTCCTTATGCATTTGTCCCCACCCAGGATTAAAAGTGAGAGTTGCCTTTAAGCAACAGTCTTGTTGTTTCCCAGCAAATATAAAATTGACAAATACTAAGGTGCATAAAAAAGTACATATAAGGCCTGCAGTTGCATATTTCAAATAATTCAATTAATTATTTGGGTGGAAATCGTTATTATATGTTTGCACCTGAGATGAAGGTGTTAGGCCTAATGACATTTTAAGAAAAGGAAATGGCGTTTCAAATCGGTGTCCTCCTCTTAACGGACATTGTCTCTGAGCGCTAGGGCTGCTGGATATCAGGAAAACTTGCAATATGTGATAACACTGCTGAATATTGCAATGACGATACCACTTGCAATATTTAAACACATATTTAAAAAACATTGTTAATGTATTTCTGCTTTGGATTCAAACATAACAAGCAAAGCATAGCAAACATAACCCTAGACTAGACTATGCAGAAACTTAAAACAAATTAAAACATTAATTCCAGTCCAACATCATAGTTAATGTTTTTGTTATATTGTTTATATTTTATAAAAAAACTTCTCAATTCTCCCCTTTACAAATGTTCTGGCCTTCTGAAATATATATATGGCCTTCTGATGTCCTCTCTCCCCTGTTAGTATGCAACTTCAATTATGATTGGTCAATTATATGAACCTGCAGAGCGTGAATGCATGGCATAGGGAGTAGGCTATCATTTATCGCAGTTCCAGCAGTCTTCGCTATGTCTCTGTTGATATCGCGATAAAGATGGATTTGTGATTAATTGTGCAGCCCTGCTGAGCGCTACGTCACCTTTCTGCTTTGAAAACATCCTGAAGTTAGGACTTGTCAACACTTTGAAATGACCAAATCCATGCATTTTCAGTAGAACCTCTTGGTTGTTAAGGTACATTAGTTAATTTTAGGCTATATAAAATATAGTATAAAGATTTAGTTTTGATCCTGCTGAAATGGACGATGGGCAGCTATGGCTCAGATGGGATAGAAGGCCGTCCACTACTTGAAGTGATGGAAAGTGTCCATACTGATTGGTGTGTTTGTTGTCTGTGAGTATTTTTACAATTTACACTATGGGTACTTTTTGAGGATGGTAGGTCATTCATTATAGCAGTCGCCAAAGCTTGGTCTTTACTGCCATTACAGGATATCAAAAATGAGATGTTGTGAGGCAAAGCAAGAGACGTCAGTCTGCACTTTGTACGATGTATGAGGAAATAAACATGCGCTATTGGGAAATGCATTCAGATAACATCTTGGATTCTCTTGAATACAGAATTTCGAAAGGAGGATGAAGTAAGATACAAAGATATCAAGAAATGCAGTAATCAGTTAAATGATAAAAGATCAGAGCATGAGCTAAATAATGAGTGTTGTCTGATCCGGATTCTTTGTATGGCCTCTCCCCTCTGCTTTGAGCTTGCAACGTTTGTTTACTTCCAGTACTTTGGTCCCAATGCGCTACGTTTCTTTCTTCTTTCTGTGTGCTTGTGTAGAAACTATAAACGGATGTATGCATCCTCATGCCCCTACGAATAGGTCTAACATTTTAGTATTTTGATATCAGCATGATGGTTGAATGTAAAAGGTAAGGAACCCATTGACATTAGTATATGGACTTGTGATTCGTTGGATGTTTTTTTAATGTATTATTTCCCTGTTGGCATAGCAGTCTTGGTGTTGCTTCTATGTCTCTGCTGTCAGGAGATGCATGAAGTCCTCTTTGGGGAATTTGTCATTACAGATTAGATAGTCTCTTTCTCATCATGCTCAGCAAGAGCAGCATGAACAAACCTCAAAGTATTGTTCAACATGAATATATGCTGCATAAGACCGCTTTTTTGTGGAGGGAAACTTGACTGCAGCACTGTGCAGCAGGTAGACGGAGAGACGCACAGAGGTGGTCTTCCAGCGTGGATTGAAGCAGGATTTCCTTGAGTCCGTCCTGTCCTTCTGCTGCCCCCATGGCTGTGCCTGAGGATACAGTGACCTTCCAATGATCTGTAACTCGGCCTGGGTATCATTTCTCCTTTTGTTTAAATAGTATAATTTAAACCTTTTTAATAGTAATAATTTTGATATTCTATATTTGTTTCTTTTAACTGTACCAAAGAAAAGTCTATTACCTCTGTTTAAAATATATATATTTTTGACATAACACTGTTTTCTTTCTGATATTTTCAAGATGAAATACAATGTTGTGCCAGCCCAGGTCAGCCCTCTTTCCCAATACAGATTTGGAGGGGATAAGACTGCCTGCTCTTCTGCCATAACTGATCAGAAGGCTGAAATCTACAAGGGCAGAATGGCGCTGCAGTCATGGTGAGTCCAACTTTGTAGCCTATAAGTTACAAAAAGCTTTATTATCCTTTCTGTGTGTGATTTGGACAGCACGTCTAAAGGCCACAGTACGGTGCTTTAGCTGTAGACTAGATCCTCAGTGCCTTGTGTTTTGCTCTCTAATGCCATCATCCCATCTTTCCTTGACTATCAGCTTTTCTGTAGGACATAATGTGGTCAATCACAGCTATTTTTAACATACACTCCTACAATTCACTCAAGTATATATATTTGATTCCTTTCCTATTCTTTAGTTTGTTTTGTTTCTGCTTATGCCAAAGGAGGAACACTGACTAACTTATTCATGAGAAGGACAGGTCAAATGTGAATAATATTTTATGACTGCTGGGGCAGCAGCATCTCGGCTGCTGAACACACTGGTAAGGAAGGCCAGCTGTCCTGGGGAGTCCTCTGGACACTGTGGAGGTGGTGGGAGACAGGAGAATGGCAGCCAAGCTGTCCTCCCTGCTGGACAATGTGTCCCACCCCCTCCAGGACACCCTGTACTCACTGTGCAGCTCCTTCAGCGACAGGCTGCTGCACCCCCGCTGTCTCATGGAGAGATACCGCAGGTCCTTCCTTCCTGCAGCGGTCAGGCTGTACAACCAGCACAGCCTGTAAGAACTGTTACAGGATGTGTATTTTGAAAATGATTTAACTTTTTATCTTTTAATGCATGTAACATATGTAACATTTCCCCTCCGTGGGACTAATAAGGTATTCTGATTCTGATAAGCAATTTGATAACAAAAGACGGCCCCAATCATTTCTGGATTTATCAAAAAGCATTTTTTATTAATTGTCATTTTAATGTCACACAAATTCACAAGTGTTTAAGACATGTCTGGCTCAGTTTGGTGTGTGTGTGTGTCTGTGAATTCTCTAAACAGTGCAGTTATAAATAAATGACCACAAAGAGAAGAAAAGGTAAGGTAATATTGCAACAGTAAAAATAGAATTCTCATTTTAAGAAGATAAACAGAAAAAGAGTTGTTCAAATTGAACATTTAGCACCATCTATCCCGTTATCATATTCAACATATAATATCATAAAATCTTGTCTAAAAGCCCCCTACATAATGAAAACAAAAAATTACCATTTCTAAAAACAATTTGGAAAAAACTGTTTTTCCTCAATGAGCATACAAACACAGCATTCCATTAGTCATGTTCTCTACGTGAGCAGTGTGCCTATCGTCTACAGGAAAGGTGGTGTTATTTTCAGGATAAAGATATTATATAATATATACCAGGAGTCAATAGAGGCAAGCACCAGACAAACAGCAACCTCCACTCCTGTGGACACACAACCCCCACGTTTCAATTCTTACAGAGCAATCGGTCACTATAAAAAAATAAGAAGAAACAAAAATCGCAACCTTGTACAACCCTATTAAAAAGGGAGAACATTAATATCCAATAAATAGAGAAAACATTTTAAATTAAATGTACAATGCCAAAAAGTAAATGAATCCAAATTCTGCAAATTGGACCAAAACAATCGGAAGTAAAACACACAACACCAGATGGTAATGAGTTTTGTCTTCCTTCAAAGAGTATCCATACAGAAATAAAAAAAAGACCTGACAAGTGATTGAGGAAATACAAACACAAGATTTACATTACATACAAGAATCTGAAAGACAAAATGAAATCCCCCCCAAAACAACGAAAGTCGTTAAAACCCGTATGTTTTGAAGCATTCCAAACATTTGTATTTTTTTAAATTCTTAATGCTTTAGAAAAATGTTCATATCTTTATTATTAGTATTTGTCATTTTCTCTCTTTTCTAAATACAAGGCCAATGTGGTATATATCTAGGCTGATCTAGTTTTAGAAAACAACAAAACAATAAATTATTTAAAAAAAGACAGCACCCCACAAAAATTGCAAACAGCATGTACAAATGTCAGTATTCAATACAACAGAAATGCACCAACTACCCTTCGCAGTTTGTTCACCGGCAGCACCACCTGCCCCCTGGGTTCCTATGTGACCAGGGCGTCTGGCTCAAAGCACCATCTGAGAGTAAACTGGTATTTATTGGCGGCTTGGTATTTTCTTTTTGTAAACAGTAATGATGAGTAAACGTATTCAACTGGCTGTTCGGCAAGTAGTAGCAAAAATGAAAGGGTAAGTTGAAAACCAAAGTGAACCTGTGTCTTTTTTCCTGGCTTGCAGGAGTTTTGGTTATGGCTGAGGAGACGCAGGAGAGGATCTCTGTCACCGGGAGGAGGCCTGGGGAGAAACACACACAACACATTTAGAAGCTTTATTGTTTTCAAGTCAGAAATGAATAAAAGGCAACTATCAAATCCTGAACAAAAGACAGAAGGAAAACAGAATAGCGGTGCACTTACCAGGTTAAAGGAGTCGTATGTGGTCATGAGCTCCTCCATGCGGTACTGCTCCAGCACCACCACATTGTTCAGGTTTGGGCTACGCTGACGTGCGCACTCCTCACAGTGAACCACATATGTCTTTCGGCTGTTGCTCTCACTTGTCACAAACAACAAATCGAATACCTCCAACTGTAACAGAAAATAGATAATTGTTTTGTTCAGTTTTAGAGGTATTTTAACCTTATGGTCATTGTGTGATACTGATGGTTTTTCATATAAAGTACATCTTCATCCACATTGGCTGGAGTTCATAGCTCCATAGCCTATATGATGACAAAGAGTAAGGTCATGTGTATTGTAGTGCATGTCTGTAATAGAACAGGCTACTCACGTCACATTCGTTGCAGTAGTAGGCGGGCTCGTCCTTGACCCGACTCTGATAGGAAATCTTCTTTCCTAAGACCACCAGCTGGTCACGCAGGATCTGGATGTGCTTCATGGACTGCAGTAGGCAGTGTCTGGTAGGAAGGTAAGATGCCAACATTAATATAAAGTTTGCACTATACGTTTCATTCACATTCTATGTATGTAATGTGACATCTGCTTTATTTGACACAATTACTGGACTAAATACACACTGTTTCCACACATCCATGTTAATATATCTAATATGTATAGGGGATGGGTATCGTTAAGGTTTTAACGGTACTACTACTTTTATCAATCCGGTCCTTTAAAAAAAATATAGGTAAATTAATGAAACAAATTGTAAATAATGTGATCTTATAGAACTATAAATAACAAACAAAAAACAAGTATTTACTGCATAAATACAGTGGTACAGAGCAACACAGGTGGGGCATACAGGTATGCTGCAAAAGGCCTAACGGTTCTTCTGGAGGAAGATGAAGGTATACATCTGGACGTGGATGGGGCTACAGAGCTACTAGAAAGACAGTCGAAAACGGTGCATTTCTCCGTCTCAATCAATGTGGTGCACTTTTGCGAGATGTTTAAACAAATTGCTTGTGTTACCGCCATTACATGCTAAACTCTTTTGGCAACGAGCATTGTCCACATCGAAACGGGTAACATTTAACCACAACTTGGAGCGCTTAGTTCTCTCCGCCATCTCCGCCGTGTGTGTGTGTGTGCGTGTTGCATGCATGTAGCAGCCGCGTGTGTGTAAACTGCCCCGCCCCCTCACACTCAGACGGGGGAGAGAGATCTCTCGTCTGGATTGGAAAGATCGAAAATACGTCATGGACGCATTTTGTAGTCTTATTGCATATTAGAAACGGAGTTGGCGAAACTAAAACTGCAATATAATGTTTGTGTAGCAATAATACACATGACATGTATTTTTAAAATGTCTCCAGTACCGATAAAAAGACAGATAACGTCGGAGCTTAACGGTAATAATTCAGCCCGGGGCCCCTTTAATACCGGGGCTATATATATATATATGACCCAATATGTATATATGCTCTTTTTTGTTTTTATTCATTTCTTATTCCATAGTTTTTCATCATTTTTATTTTTATCTTTGATTTGATTTTTGATTTGATTAATCTGTGTGAATCTGTGCTGTCCTGTTTTTCATCCTAACCCTGTTGCTTTTTGAACCCACAGGGATTAATAAGGTCCATCTGATCTTATTCAAGGTTAGTGGTCATATTGATTGTGAACTTGTGCTGTTGAATTTGAACCTAGGGATATATTATTATCCACCTCATCTTTTACATCTCTTTTTTTGCTGGGATGTGACCACAGTGTAAACTCACTTGACCAACTTGAAGGTGTCTGGGTCGGTTATCTTGACAGTGCGGGCCGCGTTCCAGGACACATGAATCATGGGGACGATGGATTTGACTTTCTTTACTTCGTTCCACTCAAACCGCTCCAGGGCCAGCTGGTACTGGTAAGCTGCAGATACATGACATGTTGAACACATTTCAGTCTCACAACAATGTTCTTACTACTGTTGTATTTGCCAAGTGGAAGTTGCACTCCTTACCATTGAGGGGTCCGACGTTCCAGGCGATGTTGTTGCACCAGCCCACGGCCTGAACCCAGTGAACAGTTCCAGCGTTTATCCACACCAAGTCCCCCGGCCGCTGGATGAAGCGGTACACGGGGATGTTGGCTTTGTAGAGGTCCTCCAGCACCGGCCACCAGGACCCTGTCAGGTAGTCCACGCCATGCCTGGAGGGAAAGTTGTGTTAGGACTGTGATGTATGTGTTTAGCAACTGTTATAACGAGCAGTATGTATACAAAGTGAACTATGTGAGCCGGATGTGCATCTACTCACTTTGCACAGAAGTCATTGATGGCCTGCCAGTAGTTCTCATGGACAGAGAACCACTCGCAGTCTCCAGGGCCGATGTTGATGTTCACAGAGCAAAAGTTATTGTTCTCCTGGTGACCTGTTGATTAAGCACACGATATCCTCTGTCATACATAATGGTATTTCTCATTTTGTCAATCTTAAATCAGTAACGACATTGTGATTTATACATTTTTTAACTCAGAAAAAAGTATTCTATCCCATTATAAAGGGTTACCTGGCGTCCGGCTCCCTGGGACCTTCATGTAGAGCTGGACTGTGTTCATCCCGAGTATGGTGTGTCCAACATGACTCAGCATATTTCCGCTGGATGCTACACGCATAAATGCTGGCAGCTTCTGCAACTCCTGAAGCTGGGGCTTCCACCTGAACAGAGACAGCAGGTTAGAACTGGTCCAACTAGAGAGGGCAATTTCATTTGTGCTAAAGTACTTAACAGCTTTGGAATCTTATGCAATATGTGGAAGATGCTCACCTCTTGGGATCTGAGAGGTCAATGTTGGTGCCAAACTTGATAATCTTCCCAACTGCTTTCTGCTCAGCACTGAGGAAAAAGAACACATGAAGTATTACTAGAAGTTACAAATCACTTGAGTGTTTATGTACACTTTATGGTCTCTTAACACTATCCCTACCTGCTGCTTTCTTTAGAGATGTCCTTGCTTGGAGCATCCGAGCTGGTGGATGGCTGCTTCTCCTTCTCATCTTCATCATCCTCGTCATCACTGCCTTTCTCCTCCTGAAGACTCTCTTGGAAGCTGGATGCCTGGTACTGGGCATATTTGGCGATGGTGGTGTGGGAGCGGCTGCTCTCGCAGGGCCATGACTGACCCGTCCCACTGGGGTCCCAGTTCTCATCAGCGGGCTGCTGCACCTGAGTCCTCACCTCCACCGACTGCTCTGCATTGGCTTCAACCAGTGACTTTGTAGAAAACAGGCCCAGGTCTACAGATAATAAAAGGGAATATTAGGCACATAACAGCCAATTGAATATATATATATCTGTCTGTCACTTGAGGTTCAAAGTATTGCAATAAATTACATTCAATCACAGTTGCACAAGTGTTAACTTACTGAGTCGTAAGGATCCAGCCAGGCCTCTGATGACAGTAACAGGATTGTTGGGGTCAGTACAAAACTGCAGCAGCACAGGGGAGAAGGCGTCCCTCTTACTCTCCAACTACAGAGAAGAAAAGTCAGATCAATACACAACAAAAACAGCTACTGGAAAATGTGTCTCCATGCACAATGAATCACCACACACACAAATATACACATACACACACAGTCTGTTGTGTAAACTACATACAGGTATTTACATTCTGTTGCTTTAAAGAATGTATTTTTGTGTACTCTTCTAATAAACTTTAAAGTGCCATCCCAACTTTCTTTCGTTGTCTGATGAAGATCAAGTGTATCAAATATAACAGTGAAGGAATGCTTGTTTACGTACATAGATGCTGGGTGTAGGAGGGTTGAGTTTCTCTCTGGGGATGGGTTCGTCTGGCATGACGGGCTTCACAGAGAAGGCTGGGAGAAGAAAGGACTCCCGGAACTTGTCTTTCACTCTGGCTCCCCTGCAACAGAAAAAGAGAGACCATGAAGATACAAACATTCCTTCCCACACAGTGCACATAAGCTGCCTGATGGGCCAATCGTCTTTGCTAAACACATACTGCTTTTGCCTTATTTTAATTCATAGAAATATCTTACAGGTCATTTAGAGACATAGTCAACACAAACACAGGTCGAATCTGTTTTTGGATCATTAGAAAATAGCGTTGCAAAAGCTATTTTTGCACAAACACAGGTGACATATTTTGTGCACCAGTATGGGTCACAAATGAAGCATCTTGTGCAATAGTGTACATTGTCCACATGCACCATATTAAGCCCATAAAATGCGCTACGGAGCATACTGGATTATCCAACACTATCATATGTGTGAGGTCCAGTCTGCCCTCTCGTGCTTCAACTGTGGCATTTCAATGTGTAAGGAGATTCAATAACAACAGTGCTCGAGTGGACAAGATTGTATATAAGAATGAAGAAGAAAAAACCCTCCTAAATAATAACGGTATGGTTTGACTAGGCATGAGACTCATTAATGCATGTAATGATTTTTAGAACAGCCTAAAGTGCACTTACTTGCAGGACCTGATGATCTCACTGGCACTGTTCTTAATGGTGATTTCCTCCAGTGGGATCCTCTTCTCCTCCACCTCAGAGGCAATGAACGTCTCCCTGTCCCCGCTCTCCACCTTGATGAGGCGGATCTTCAGCTCTTTGGGCGGCCCGTCCGACAGCGCCTTCAGTTTCAAGAAGTCTGTTGAACCCAGTGAAGAACCCGATTCAGAGTCTTTCCTGTCCTCAGAAGACCTTTCAGGATGCTCTCCTTCACTGGCGGAGCTGGTGCCGGACGCTCCGTCAGCCTTTGTTTTTTCTGTGTCATAATGATCCCGATTCTTCTCAGAGCCGTCCTTGCTCTGGAGGTTGAGGTCGCAGAGAATTCTGCGGTCCTTCTTTTCCTTCTTGCCATCCTTGTGCCGCTTGTGGCTGGAGCTGCAATGAGTGGAGGATGATGATGATGAAGAAGAGGACAAGGCCATCTCCTCTCTCTTTTCTCTATGCTTCTTCTTTTCTTTCCTGTCTTCATGCTTCCTGCTGCTACTGTGGCCGTGCTTCCTCTTCTTATCCTTCTCCCTTTCTCTATCCCTGTGCCTGTCTTTGTCTCGGTGTTCTTTCACTTTCTCAGGTTTGTGTCTGTCCTCCACTTTCACATGGCTATCGGATTTATCCACAGAGTTCTTGTTAGGAAGTGACTGTCGACTAAGCATGACCTCGCAGCTTTTGCCCAACTCAGCCAGAGAAGACTCGGAGATGGTCGTCAGCTGCCGCTCCTTCTTCACCACCTTGATCGGGTTTATGATAGAAATACTCTCCTTTTTGTTGGAGTTCATTCCGTCTTCTGTTGAACCTCCGTCGTCTCTCCAGACATCAGCGTCCTCTATTTGGAGTTTCTTGTCTTCTAGTGGAGGGGGGGAGGACTTCAGAGGTGGGACAGCGGGACTGAATGGTGGATTGTTTGGATCTGAAGTGGGAGAGCTGCCTTGCTGCTGGCAACAGATATCCGGGCCCAGCGACAGTGAAGAGGAATATTTGACCCCGAGCAGAGCCGAGGGAGGTGGTCTCCCAAAAGGCCCACCACGGTAAGCATACTTCTGACTCTCTAGGACTGTTGCTAGGGATTTGAACATGCTGTTTACACCAGTTTGATGGAGGTGGGGTCTTTGAGGTGGTGGAGAACAAGATGGTGTCTCAGACTCATCTTCATCATCCTCCTCATCAGCCTCACTTTTAATCTGCTCAGGGAGGCCATATAGTTTAGCCAGGTCACTGTGGCGGTAATTGGTGTTCCCCACTCCCGTGTCCGCTGACCGCTTATGGTTCAGAGGGACATTTGAAGGTTTATGGTAATCCTCATCCTCCTCGTTCAGAGAAGACGTCCGGCTGCAAGGGGAAGCCAGAGAGCCTTGGCGACTGAGCACGGGGGGGCTAGCGTGCGGATTTGATCCAAAGTCTTCCTGGCTGGGCTGGTGCTTCAATGCTGGAATGAGGTCTGGGGCACACAGGTAGCTCTTGATAGGCTGGACACTAGGATTAAAGTTGTCAAGAAGACCTGTGGACCCTGTCTTTTCGCTGTTATACATCTCCTCTTCCTTTTGGATGGATTCATCCAGCATGGCCATTATGTTGGCCAGACCATCAGGGAGCAGGGTGGACATCTCGGAGGGCTCCTCCTCAAACTGGGCAGAGTCTGTGCCCGTTTCCAAACCACTTCCTGTCACGGGCTTGTTGAGGATTCCCTTCATGGAGCTGGAGGATAGAGGTGGGGGGAGCTTCTCTCTGGGAAAGGCCTGATACAGTTTGGGGGGTTCTCGGAGGGCCAAGGCGGGGAGAGAGGGTACGCTGCTCTCTCGCTCCCTGACTGAGTCTTTGGATTGGTTGGGCGCGGCTTGCATAGCCGGGGGCTTGTGGGGGTACATCATCCCTGAGGTATTGTGTGTTAATGAGGGACTGAATGTGGTTCCGCTATTGTTGCTCCACATCTCCCTCTGCCTCTGCTTCTCTCTGGCATACTCCGTCTGAGGTGTAAGAGGGGGCGGCCGCAGCCTTTCTACTGGAGTGATGGTGGGGGGTGTCAGTGCTGGTGGTGCGGGGAGCACACCCCCACGGCTGAGCCAGGGGTAAGGGGGTGACGTCTGGGCACTGGGGGGCGAGGGACCTGAAGGAGGAGCAGTAACAGAAGAGAGACGAGGGGGGGGGGAAAGCAGTCTCTCCAGATTCTCCATTGCAGTCTGCTCTTTGCCTTTGGCACAGCACAGCTCCTCCTCCCTCCTCTTCTCCATCCTCTTCCTCTCCGACTCCCTCTGTTTTCTATGTTCTTCATCCTGCCTCTCCAGCTCTCTCTTCTTTTGCTCCTGCTTCTCTGCTTCTCTTCTTTTGCTCTCCTCCTCTTGCCTCTCCCACTCTCTCCTCTCCTTTTCTTGCTCCTTTTTCTCCCATTCTCTCTTTTTCCTCTCCTCTTCCTGCCTCTCCCACTCTCTCCTCTTCCTCTCCTCCTCGAGCATCTCAGATTCTCTCTTCCTCCTCTCTTCATCTTGCCTCCTTTTCCTCTCCTGCTCCTGTCTCTCCCATTCTCTCCTTCTCCTCTCCTCCTCTTGTCTCTCATGGTCTCTCTGCTTCCTCTCCTCTTCCTGCCTCTCCAGCTCTTTCCTCTTTCTCTCCTCGTCACGCTTTTGTCTCATTTCCCATTCTTTCTTCCGCCTCTCCTCTTCTCTCAGTTTCCTCACTTGATCCTCTCTGTCCCTGCTCCTCCTCTCTTCAGCTTGCATGTGACCCTCCAGCTCTGCATCAAGTTTGTCTAGAGCCTCTTCGATGGACTGAGGGACAGAGACCGGAGCGGGGGGAGGGAGCTGAGGCTGGGGGTACGCCTGAGGCAGGGCATACTGTGACTGATGAGCCGGTCTGGAGGAGAGGGCTGGGTGGGCTGGGTGGGCTGGGTGGGAGGGCTGAGCTGCCGTGGAGCGCGGGGCTGAGCGGTACGTGTGAGGAGAGCTTGGAAGAGGGTTTGAAAGTCTGCTTGTGATCACACTGTCCCCTGTCCTCTGGTGTCCTGAGGAGAACAGAGAGGAGGATGAAGAAAATGGAGGGTTCTCCAGTTCTGCCTGAGCGTAATATGACGTCTTCCCCTTCAGTGGCCGGGCCTTGTTGGGTCCCTGTTGATGGTAAGGCTGGTTGCCGGGGGCAGCTTGGCCTCTCTGACATCCTGGCTGCAGCAGAGCATCCAGCTGAGGGGTGGGGCCAGGGATGCCACGGGTGGAGGTAAGGGGTGCCGGCTCTCTTCCTCTCTGCCAGCTGCTGTTACTGCTGCCATTGTTCACAGGGCAACCAGCAGGGGGTGATGTGGTCACCGTGGACACAGCAACCATGGTTACACCAGTAGAGCTCCTGTTGTTGCCGTAACCACCGATGGAGCACGATGACTGGGGTGTGGGAAGGTTGGCGGTGATGACCGGTGTCCGGGTGGAGTTGGTTAGGGGTAGAGGGGGGAGGACATGATGTTGATGCTGTGTAGGACCCCGATTGTCCACCAGCTGATTGTGGCTCTGCTGGCGCTGAGGTAGCAGTCCTGGAGGCCTGTAGATGCCCGACTCCTGAAGAAACACATACAGAACAATTCATTATTATTATTATTATTATTATTAATTATAACAGAATAAAACATCTGCTGCTCCATATGAAAAGACTACAGCACTGATAACTGACATTAAACATGTTTTATACGAGCTTAATGAAAACTAACATATCCACAGGATGTCATGTTTCCATCACTGCTGATCGGAGCTGAAACCCATATAAGGACGTGACTGCTGCAGAGTTATTTGTCCTGAAAATCAATAGCTTTTGAATGCAACCCACACTTTAGACACAAGCCAGCTGGATTTTTTTTTAAGTGGGAAGGGGCTTTATACTCACGAGGGAGTGACTGTTGGGCCTGCTCTGGTATCTCCAGGCCTCATGGGGCCCACTCTGCAGGTGCTGAGGTACTGAGGTGCTGCTGGCAGGAGGAGGACCCTTGTGCCCCAGCCCTGGGTGAGGCTGGAAGTGGCTGTAAGGCACACTGCTGCTGGTGGTGGCAGGCGGGTTTGCTGGTGACGATTGGGCGTGTGGGTGTTGATCTCTGTCTCCCCTGGTTGGGGTGCATGCCGTGTGAGAGGTAGCTTGGCTACCACCTTGGCCCCCGATGAGAGGGCCTCTCTGGCAGTGAGGACCCAGCAGCCCCAGTTTGGAGCTTGGGCTGGGGTAGGAGGAGTGAGGAGACTGCTGGTTTACAGCCTGAGGTTGGAATGCGTCTTTCTGGAGCTGAGGGGCAAATCCCTGGTTGTAGCTTCCCAGGGTGGAGTTTTGTGGAGGGGAGAGGTTTGAAGCGGTGGAGGCAGGGGAGGACTTCTGGGCGTAGCTACCCATTCCTTGTTTGTTGTTTTCCTGAGGAACAAAGCAACAATCATTAGAGTAATAAAGACTAACAAGGATCAGTGCTGCTTTTAACAAAAGAGAGGGAAATCAATTTTGGGCATGGTGTGATTTACAGCCCAGCAAACAATACCCTGTCAGGCTCAGACAGCCAACAGAATCAATACATTTTTATGGCACCACTCAACCCAATAAAAGTCTTCCTATTGGCTGTGGTCAATAGTAAAATATGAACCTCTGGCTCCTGGTAGCATATATCTAATGAAGGGACTTTCTCTTACTGTTCTGAGCTGGAAGTCCTGTGATTGTGGATGTTTGCGTTCGGACATCTGGGGCTGCCAGGGAGTGCTGTTGTTTTTGTGAAGGGGGTTCCAGAAGGCAGCTTTTGGAGGGAGGTGGTGGGCTGAAGACTGGTGCTGAGATAACAAAGACTGGCCTGGCACAGGGAAACGCTGCAGCCCGGGGTGGGATACCTGCAAAGATAGTGGAACATTACAATGTTTACCAATCAAATAACTGATAAACGAGAGCAAACAACATTTTAGGAAAGAATCGAGAATTGAAGTCTTTGAGATCCAATAGTTTTTGGCTGTTTTGGTCCAACAGATGAATATACTGTTCGCTCTGGTTTCATACCTGATCTGAACTCTTTTTCCGTTTGTTGGGACTGGGACAGTCCTCTGCAGCTGGGCGGGAGGACGGGTGCATGGGGGGTGGAGGAGTGTGCTGGATGACAGAGTGCTCTCCCAATGGAGGGCCCGGTCTCTTCAGCTGACCCCCGAGCATCTTCCCTGGGTAGCCCCTCTGCTGTGGACAGAAAAAGTGGCTCTGAGAGAAGCATATGGCTTTCATCTGTCTGGCTGCATCAGATATGACAGCAACAACACAGATTGTTGTAGGTATGCATGTTTGTATGGATTGATGATGAAACATGATCATAGCCAATTAAATAGCTCCTACCTGGTGCACCTGAGCCCACATCTCTTCTCCCAGCAGTGGTGGACCCCGGGGAACATGCTGCTCCTGAGGACCCCCAAACTAAAAGCACACACAAACACAACTGTTGGAGACATTTCCTTCATAGAATAATTACAGTTTGATTAACTCTGTTGTAGAAGTGGCTGTAGACGGATCATAGAGCTGTTTTTGTTATGTTTTTTCCAGATAAAGTTTATGACATTTTTATGCAGCACATTTGGATTACAAAACAAATAAGAATTGTTTCAATGATCTAAGAATTTATTAATTTATTGGAAACAAATTGAGGATAGTCCAAAAGCAGAACCCCGGACAAAGGACAGTGGCTTTATTATTTTACAATTTGATTTAAAAATGACATTAAGCATAGGGCTTTATTTTCATCTAGGGAAAAGCTGTTTAACTACCACAGTGTCACCTGCAGCACTGTCACTCACCTTCAGCTGTTGGTTTGGCCTGCTGGGGGCTAGATGGGGGTTGGGGGCTAGATGGGGGTTGGGGGGTAGATGGGGGTTGGGGGGTAGATGGGGGTTGGGGGGTAGATGGGGGTTGGAGGGTAGATGGGGGTTGGAGGGTAGATGGGTGTTGGGGGCTAGATGGGGGTTGGGGGGTGGGCCGCTGCTGCCTGCATAGCCGCCATTATGGAGGCGAAGTGAGTGCTCATTTGGCAGTGGCACGCCAGGATGTCCTTGAGGAGGGAGGTGGGAATCATACAGCTGACCTAGTTGCTCCCACGCTCTGTGGGGGGGTGGAGGGTGAAGATGATGAGGAGGAGGCCTCTGCTGCTCCCTCTGCTGCTCCCTCTGCACACCTGGTACCATTTGCTGGGGAAGCTCAAGCTTCTCACCTCCACGCATTGGCCTGGATAGAGAAAAATGGTTAAACAATATTTGAACAAGAAAGAAATCAAATCTAAATTACACCTAACACTTGCTTTATCATGTGTTTTCTGTAGATGAACTACCCCCATGCTGCTTTCTAAATGACTGATGTTTTTGTGCATGACTTACCCATTTCCAAATAATTTACTGGGATGGTTGAGTCCGCCCATAGGACCAGGAGGTAGATGGGAAAGGAGCTGGTGTTGGTTCATTCCAGGCGAACACCTGATGAGAAACAGCACACACACTCCAGTCAGAGAACATCTCCCGAGATTGTTAAGTACTTTTAAGCTTTTATTTCAGTGTTGCTGTAAAACTTAATCACAGGTTTAGGCTGATGGATTAAAGGTAACAACGGGGCACAGCAAAGTTTGTGTTTGTGTTGTCATGGCGACAGACCTCGCAGGTGGCTGCCAGGCGCGGCCGCCCACGGGAGCCCATGGTCCCCGGTTGAGTCCGTCCAGAGGGAAGGAGTCCCGTGTGCCACGCCCGCCGAACTGCTCTACTGCGTGATGCATCCAGCCTGCAGAGGTAACATGTCGTTTACTCACATGCTTTCATGCAGAACAACATATTATCTATAGCCTATCATCGCATTTATTGACAAATAGAATTAAAATCACTTTGTTATTGTTATAAAGTATTATTTTCACATATTGTGGTATTTAGGTTGGACTTTGTGGTCAAATGACTTCTCACTGCAACAACAGAGTTTGACAGATTACCCTAAAAAGTGACTACACTACAATTTCTATTCAGCCCATTGAAAGTATTGGCTGTAGCTGAGACTCAGATTACAATATAATAAGAGACAAATCATTTTAACTGTATATAGAACAGCAGTATGTAGTGTTATCATACACTTACAATAACACACAGTGTCTGTCATTAAAGTGACTCACAGAGCTGCTACTCACCAGACTAGCGGAGTGTGTGAAGCCCTCCACTGCAGCACAGAGAGGGCCTCACTCACTGAGAATGAATGTACTGTCCAACGCCTCTGTCTTTAGCACCAGGAACCCCAAAGCCTATTGGCTACAGAGAGAGAAGAACAGGAGAGACACTTTGAGAACAAGCGAGACACAGACAGACTGAAAAGTCAATAAATGCCAGTGTGCCAGCAGAGAGAGCAGGGTGTACACATATAGCGTAAGTTGTGACTACAGAGGCACCCTGATTGAAATCCTTTATTCATTTTATTTACATCTTATTCTCACTACTGACATTTTCTTCAGATTTTGTTTCAGTATGGACTTAGGAAAAATATGCTTGAAGTCTTGAATGATGATGGATGTCTTTGTCTTGTGGCTGCTATGAGTCAGTCCGCCTGTAGGAGGCGCCAGTTAGCCAGTGAGTCCTGATCAGAGTATTACTGAGGCCCAGATGGCTCAGTGGGGAGCTCACCTACGAGGACAGACCTGGGGTTACTGTAATCCTTACCATGGGCGTCCTGATAACAGGAGACAGAGGGAAAGACTGAAAAGGAGAGGCGCTGGTCACATGCCAAGTGTGTGTCTGTGTGCGCAAGTGTGTGTTTTAGTGTGTGTGTGTGTGTGTGTTGTCGGAAGCGGTGCCAAGTGTGCAAGCTGCACGGTCATTTCAGGCTTGTGCTGATTTAGTGCATGCGAGAGAGAATAGTGTTCTCTCCTAAGTGGATGATTGTGTGTGTGCTGCAGCGCTCTGAAGTGTGTGTGTGTGTGTATATATATATATAAAGTGTGTGTGCATGCCCGGTGGATACACTAAGGTTTAATCTCATTACGGCAGGCGTGATGGAGAGGGAGAGGGGGGCAGCAGCGACAGACGGTCTGAACAGGATGGAAGGCTAGATTAAGGAGAAACGATGGAGAAGGAGAAGAGGGAAGGGATGGAGGGAGGTGGAGTGGAGAGTCGGAACGGTGCCATGAAAACGCCCACACACCTTCCCACACACACAAATACACGGAGGCCACACAAAGGAAAGCGGGTAAAAAAAACGCATAAAAGAAGCTGAGAGATAACTCCCTCCCCTCCCTGTTACACACACACACACACACACACACAGTCTGTGTTTCAAAGTACCTTTGGTTTAAAAAAAGACAACAAACAAGATCCCTGAGAAAACCTGAGGGATGATTCACACCTACACATTTCCCAATGCTGTTGAAAACAAGTGTTACAAACACATCCCTGCACTGAAGACGTTACACATAGAATCACTTGTTCTGTCATCCCTGTTAACTTGATTGCAAGATTAAAGCGAAAATATCCAGCCTCAATCTCTTCATCACTTAACCCTAATAAGGATGGCACACATTTAAAGATGACAAGACTACAGGACAAGTATCTTTGATTTCAAAACTAAAAACAACAACAAAAGCCGTTATCCTGACATGCTTCCATTTGCATGATCCATTACTTGTCACGAACATGTCAAACATAACATTTTGAAAGCAGTCATAATAATGTATAATGTGCACACACAGGGCATGATTCATTTATCTTGCCTAGCACAGCACTCTTCCACCAGATTTCCTAAATTAGCTCTGGTTAGACGCAGTCCTTCCTCCCACCAGTTTCTCTTCTCTGCCTTTCTTCCACCCACCAACTCTGGATCTCTCTGTATATTTACAGCCCAGAAGGGGATATTTCAATCTCTGTACACTTTAGCTTGTCAGGAGTGGTGCTCGACAGTGACACACCTTCTCTTCCTCCTCTCACAGGCATCATCATCATCATCATCAACCAGGCTCTGCTGCTCACTGAAGAGATGCTGGCATAGAACTGTCAAGGCTGCAGTCTGCTTTAAGACAAAGCAATACAAACACACCCTCATGCTGAGCTTACCTTTCAGAGTAGCACCAAGTTATTGATTCACAGTTGTGTTATGTCTCAGCTTCTGCTGCCAATCATCTCTCCGGGGTCTCCTCACCCCTGAAAGACAAAGAACACAAAAAACGTCATGTCAAGCTGTCAAAAAAACAACATGAAGCCACGCTTAACACAATACTCTGGGGTATGATGATATACGACGCCTCAAAGCATACGATATAATAAGGGTGAGGGGTGGTCTCTGCTTTCAACATGAAGAGACAACCTCTTTGTCCAGCTGCTTCTCTTTCTCACTTTCTACACTGAGAATCGGCACCAAACCCTCCTGGTGTCCTGACTTCTGAGGTGACTCCTGGTTTGCGAGCAGTGTTGAAAACTTGAAAATGGCTGAGAGGCAAAGGGGTAAATCAGCAGGGAGACCGTGACAATGGGAGCGAGGGGTTCTCTTGTTCACTCACTGTCTCTTTCTCTTCTCTCACACACACACACACACACAATGGAGAGACTACGTGTGCAGCTTAACAGGCAGCCAGACACACAAACAAGGCTGATCTCACTCTAACAGGAAGAGTCGGGCTAGCCAAGTCAACTATCACACGTGAGAGAGTTGGCTGGGGAAACATAGAAAAATAATAAAACACATAGTATATTGGAGAAATGGAGACTTTGAAAAGCGCAGAGACATAAAGAAAATCGAGCGAGGCCCAGTTGTTGCTGGTGAGTGCAAACGGGGACAAAGTGGAGAGGCTGTAATTACCACTTTTATACAGGGTGTGTGTTTATGTCTGTTGTGACCAAATGGTCTATTCCCGTTGCTACCCTGGCTATCACATTGCTCACAGTCTATCTACCAGCACAGTGTGAGAAACTCAGTACTCTGAAACAAGATAGTGTACACAGGCGGCAGACCGTGTTACATACCAGCTTGGGTTCTATCAGATGATACCAAAGTGATGGAATGTGGTTATGCTGATCAGTACTGTATGTGCATCGAGGAAAAGGCAAGAGCTGTGTGAGCATTACTCATTTAGTTTTTCAGGGAACCCCCGTTGACTCGGCGCCCTGAAAGAGGGCTTACCCTAAACAGCTCGCCCTGAACTCCGCCCTCCTGTGACACCATTTACAGTCAGGTGACCGGAGGCGTGTTTTTGCACCGGGTAAGATGACAACTGCGGGAATTTCTCGGACTTCGTGATGTCATTTCTGCTTCCTATGCTGTGTGACGCATGGGTTTCTTGTGCAAGTGTGTAAAGACAAACAAACAGGATGTGAGGACGAGCTGCAGGGGAGGTTTCACGGCCACGAGAATAATCAAACTACTACCAAACTGCAGGTTCAAGATGATGAGGCAACTTCCGTGATGATGTTGAACACAACAAAGTCTGGTTGTTGTGTTTATTACTCCTGAGCAACAAGATTTCTAGCTTTACCTCAGTAGTTTTAGAGCAGTCAAAGGGTGAAGTCAAATGAACTGAAAGACTTTTGTTATTGTCTTGTTGGTCTCTTTAGCAAAAGTATACACTGCTCATATACTACATTTCTGCTAAATAGATAACGCAATCTACTGGTAGATCAAAAATTCCCCACTGGCATATTTTTAGTGACATGTCCACATTGACAGAAGACATCAAAGGGGTGTTCCTGTCAACACCCTCTGTGTAGTAGTTCCATTAGTTAGTCTTTGTGGCAGCAGCTCCATCTATGAGCTGGGCCTACAGGAAGGTTTGGCACAGACACAAAGCTGTACCAACTGTCTTTAGCCAGATCAATCTGAAAGTTAAAAAGGGGAAAAAAGAAGCTCTTTCTGGTGGCAACTAACAAAGGAACAGATAACATAAATTAATCAGACACACAAACCAAAGTCACACGCTTGGGGCTGTGTACTCAGAGAAACATCCTTAGACACTTACTACGAACATGAGCTGCGGGGAGCAATTTGCAGAAATTAAGATGTTCAGATGACGTCTGTTTCTGAGCAGCAGCCTAATTCATTCGCCCTCAGCCTTCCTTGCTAACCACTGGCCTGCTCTGGTCCCAGGACAGACAACCACACTGAGGATAGGACAACAGGCTGAGGAGAGACGAGGGGAGGCAGTAGGGGCATACACTGCAAAGAATCTCTATTGGTACAAGTGTTACAATTATCATTCTAGAAAAAACATGTAGGATTTGACTAGATGGGTCCTTACACTGAGAGTGGCCATATAAAGACCCAGAGGATGAGACCACTAACAAATCAAACCTGGAGGGGGGGGGGGGGGGGGGGGGGGCTGATGGCAGGCAGCTGTAGAGTGTTACTGTTCTGGTAAAGTCACTGTAGTCTTTCTGATAAGAAATGACCAGATAAGGCAGGGTGAAGTGGCTGATAACAGAAAACAGAGCGAGGGAAAAAGATCTGGCAGAAATGAGTTTCTGGCCAGGGATGACGGAAAGGCCATGCATGGTCCTGGTCTCCCTCCCCCTCCCTCCCTTCCTCTCTTGTTCTGTCCTCCCTCGCCCTCTCTAGTCCATTTGGCCATTACATAATCAGCCCCAGATAAAGACAGTGTTCTGAAGGAAACTCCAAGGATTTCTCCATCTCTCTCTCATAAACATGTTATGTTGTCTGTGCGTGCGCATACGTCAGCCAGCCGTTGGAAGACTGTGATGCAGTATGTCACACGCCCACATCGTCACACACAGAAAATCAGAGGACGCTGTCCTAGCCATCACACAGGGCGGTGTGGGTTAGACAAGGACACAGCCAGCAAACATTGTTCCAGCACAGACACAGAAGCGTCTGACCTCCATGATGGATGATTATCTCCCAAAGAGCGCAACCCTTCTTTCAGGAAACAGAGCTCTGAACCTAACCCTCTACCCAAATAAAACCAGGCCGTCATGCTCCACAGCAGCACGCCATAACATGCCAGACAAAAGCTCTTACTTTTCACACTAGGTCTCTTCCAGCTCATGTATCTACACTTAGGCCTAAACACAGGGGGAGGAAGATTCTAAATATGCACATTTGAACTCTGTTGGGGTGAGGATGTTTCTTATTTCAACATTCAGTAGATTTTTTAAGTGATAAGTTCATTTTAGCAGCAGCCACAAACCCAGCTGCTGTTTGCGGTCGCCTGTCAACACAGCCTTTCACCACCTCTTTTTCCATTGGTGTTTAACTCTAAAGCAAATGAAAATGTTGATTTCCGGACCCCCAGTGGCAATGGCACACTGACAAGAAACAGTTGGCCTATATTTGTATCCGTTTGTGGAAAAGAAACCTAGCAGGGAGAAGGGGGGGGGGGGGGGGGGGGGCTGGTAGGAAAACATGAGGTTCCTTTTGTCTCCTGCACTCAGAACCCAGACATCTGGGCCTGGGACTGACAACACACAACTTTCTCACTAACACACACAGAGCTCTGTTGCACGTGTGTGACGTTAAAAAGAAGGGGAACAGAGCGCAGAAGAGAGAGGAAGCTGTCGTCACCCCCACAGGAAGAAGGCCTCCCTGAGGGGAGTTTGTGTGTGTGTGTGTGTGTGTGTGTGTGAGAGAGAAAGATAGGCCTTGATGGCTGAGGCTTCCTGTTGTAAAGATATGAACTGTATGTGTTTTTAGTGTGTCTGCAAAAGCTTTTAGACTGTAATAAAACAGATGAACGTGATCTCATGACTAGTCCGTCTCTCATGATGTGAAACAAGGATGCTGGTCAGTTTTAGTACTAAAATAGACCTCAGACACATAGTCATCTCGTGTGAACGGCACGTGTGTCCAACTCATGACTCACACAAGCCTAGTCAACAAAAACGAGACAGTCAACTGACTTGAAAATACATTTACTCACATCTGACCACGGGTGTAAAGACAAAATCCTTGTCTGCCCTCGTTTTAGCTTCTGGTTTAAGGGAATGACAAATATTATTGATGGTAGTATGAGTGTGTATGAGTGTGTGTGAGTGTGTGTGCCTTTCCTCCCAGTCACTTGTGCTCCCCGCTTCATGTTCTCAGAAACTGTCTCTTACAGATGAAACACCAATTTAGATTTCTCAACAGTCCTAACACATGAAGCTGCCTGAAATGAGTGGTGTGTGTGTGAGACAGAAAAAATAGTGATTCAACACCTGGCTTGTGACTCTAAAGCAAGGAAAACACGGTGTAAATCCCAACAAACCTGGAAATATTAAAGGACGTGGGCGATAACTAAGAACTGACAGCGACTTGATCATCGTCACTTTCGATTTCCACATTTGAGCAACCACAAAACCCCCCAAAGTTTTCTTTCTGCTTTCCTGGGTGATTAATTCAAAAACAAAATGGTACACATCACATTGCCTCAAAGGAAAAACTGCTTCAAACTGCAAAATCCCCCTCCCTCACACTGCTCCGTCTCTCAAGGTGCTTCTTTTCCAAATCCAGGACAAACACATGCTCAGAAATGCACTAAACAAAAAGGAGACTCTGCTTCCTTGGTAACAGTTGCCAAGGAAACGGGACGCATCTTCACTAACTGTTAATAAACTAAGCTAGAGGGGCAAAGATGGAGCCATAATTCATAAAAGGGTTTATATGAGGTCTATACGGATCAACATGTTTACTGAGACCCCACATGACACATTTAGAACATAATCCAGATTATTTGAGCTGAGCCCGATCCTTTTGCATAAACATTGGGTTTAAGAATCAAGGTATTTTCAGGTCAGTTAAAACAATGTGCAATGGGTTGTTAAATAAGGTACTTCTCCATCCCCTGTGAGTCTTGCCTACCTCTATCTTATACTGCTGTTGGGCAGGCTCTTCTGTTACAGTTCATATGAGATGATGATGATGATGAAGATAGTGAGCAGGATGATCACAGCATGCTAGTGGAGAGTTCGCATACAGTGGGTGTAATTACCCACCAATCATTTTGACTCTATCAGAACAACCATGACACAGGCTGACACTGCTGTTTTTCTTCATTTGGGCCAGTTTACAGATTCCTAAAATACCAATGTTGAAGATATTCCAAGCATTAGAAAAAACCTGGACACAACTACTCACTGGTCCAGTTATCACTCATTTTGCCAACATGAACAAGGTGGGTAAAAGTAGTCACCAGAGGAAAGGGGAGGTAAAAAAGGAAGGAAGAACATTCTTTCCTAGGTGTGTGAATGTGTGTAGCTCTGAGTATGAGTCACACAAACAGTGTGTAGGTTTGCACCGTCTCTTTCTACCATGGCATCATCATCAGTGGCTTAGAGCCAGAGATAACAGGAACTGAAGTCAAAGGGAAACTTTCCATTTTCTCTCAGTGGGCGGAACCGGAAAAAGGGTTGTAAACACCCTGTTACTCTAACAGCTTTATTCAGGGTGGAATCGATCCCCAGACAATATTATTATTTTCTCTGATATAATTGTTGATTCTCTGTTCAAAATGCAGCCATGTTTTGAATGTATGACTAATGTTAACAGTTATGAAAGTCTAAGCCTCTTGTCTGTATAACAGGGTCCTGCTGGTCAATACAAATAATGAGAAATATGTAATAAGGACCATGACTTTACTCATATACTTACGTGATTGAAATGATCCAAACTATTATTTCCCTTAACATATGGCGAACAGTACAGAAGTTAAGCTTCCTGTTTTCTCTCTCATTATTGGTGGTTCTCTGGAGGAGAAATGACACCCTTAACTGGAAGGACTGCAACAGCATGGGGTCACCCAAACAAACGTTTCATCATGACGGCCAATCCCTTCCTCCACCAGAGACACACACAGCTCTTGTTTTATCACCATCAACACATTTTTTTTTAGATGAGTAAGCACTTTTAGCCAGCCTACTAACCCACTTCCAATGCAAGCCACACACATGTAGGACAAATCTGAATTAGATCAAAGTAATCCTTAATTTGCCACACACACACACACACACACACACACACACACACACACACACACACACACACACAACACACACACACACAACACACACACACACACACACACACACACACACACACACACAACACACACCACACACACACACACACACACACACACACACCACACACACACACACACACACACACACACACACACACACACACACACACACACACACCACTATTGTTGATGTAGCAGCCTAGCCAACGCCATCTGTCCTCCTGGCGCGTGTGTATCACTTTAATATTCTTCATGTTCGTCACAACTCATAGTAAATGGGCGGCGATTGTTCATTCACTCTCACACACACACTCCTATTGAGATCGCGGGACAAACGGGGGCGGGGATCGCTGAGGCAGCACACACACAGCCGGACAGCAGTGTGCGTGGAGCGATTTGCAGCTTTAAAACTTTTTACAACCCCAGACATCAAACGCTGCGCTGGTTTCCATGCCGATCGATCTGATTGATTGGAAGTGAACCTTCAAAGGCTTCGCTTTTTTGTTTTCTTCACGACCCCATGCCAGCACACTCCACTCTTCCTGATCTGCTGCTCCTTTAGTGTGGGCAATAAAGTGACAAATAAGCCCCCCTGGCCAGCCACAAATTCTCATCAACTGCTTGTCCGATGACCAGTGGAAATAACTTTTAACGTCTGTGGACGTAAAAACCACCAATATCGACAATGATTATGTAAGAAGACATTACCACGCCCCCAGACTACTGGACTTTGTCCCGGTTTGACTTGTATTGTTTTTATATATTGTAATCACCGCCGTGTGTAGTTGTGTTTCAAACGATCAAAGACAGCAATATGGAAGTCAGCTGGATATTTCACCGTGTATAGCCTAAGTAAACCCATATGACTCCAGTGCGCTTTATTATCATCAAAGCGTGCATATGCCTCAAGATAACAGCGCCAGATAAGTGCTTTAAAGTTAAAAAGTCCCTTCAGTTTGTACAAGTGTTCCCTCTTAAAAGTGAGAATTAGATAACACATCACGTTGACCAAACAATAGTATGCGGTCAGACTTTAGTGCACTGCCTGAAACCTAGACCTAAAGGACAGACAGCCCAAAACACCGCCCCTCCCCCCATAAAGAGAGGTGATGCAAATCACTTCCTTTCAATCCGGCTCTTTGTGTGCGTAAGGATTGACTGGGGGTGATGGGGTGGCTATCCATTCACTTTATACGGCTGCCGACCTCAGTGATCCTGCCCACCCCCACTCCAGCAGAGCCACCTACTCCTACATACACACACAATGGCGTGAGATCTCCTTACACAGGCAATGTTCTCTCCCTGTCCTCTAGTTCTCCTTCCCTTTTCTAGCCATAGGATGATCATTAGTTTACAGGCTAACAATGCTCATACTAACCCGGGATGTCCCACAGCAATGTGAGCGTATGTTATTTTCTATATTCGATGTAGGCTACTATAACTAGGCTACTTTGTACAAAAGCCGGTGTCATAAACAAGTATTCACATGGGCTAAAACATATAGCCTACAGAAATATAGACTCCCAGATAGATCTCCGTGGGATAAAAACCTTTAAAAAGGTGGGCTTTTGACATCCTAAAGCCCCCTATACCCTAACTGCATATCAAAGCCAATTTTCAGAAACGCTCCAATCCACGTGCACTGCATGATTAAACATGTACGGTAAAGGTGATCAATGGTGAATGTGAGGAAACCAATTATCTGAAGTGAGACACAAACGCGTGGGATTGAACAGTCACCTGTGGTTTAGAATAAAAACTCAACCAAATTTCCCCACATCATCAATTTTTAGACGATCAATGGTTCCTCTTTGATCAACCAGCCTGCAACAATCCCCCAGAGCTGTCCTGGATCCCAACAGAACAGAGCCTACTTCAACCAACAAGAAAATACAATGTAACAACACAGCTCTCCAATGAAGGGATATCACTAACTTCTTTTTACACCAACACTGACCTGCCTGCTACCAACCAAAACAAAGTGGACAGGACTTTTAAACGCTCAGCGGCACAGCACTCACCGTTCATTCAAGTATTTCAAATGGGCGCTCCAGAAATAAAATAATATCCAAATATCAAGATGTATCCTGTTCCTTGAGCTACACGGTAGCTAGATAGTCTTTGAATCCGCAAGCCTGGAGCTCCGGGTCTGCAGAGAAAATCCCGACGAGCCGGCTAAGCGCAGCGCCTTCAGCCTGTAATCCCTTTTAGTCTCCGTCGCTTCCTCTCGAAACAACCATGAAATATGAGCCGCCGGAGAGCCGGTCAGATGTCCGTGATAATGTTCTTCTTCTTTATTTTGATATTATTCCGTTTGATGGCTGCCCCTCTCTCAGTCTCTCCGCGTCGAGCTCCTTTTCCTCTGCTTCACACAGCCGGGCAGGCGGATGATCGAGTTGCTCTGAGCTCTGTTTTAAAGGGACAGAGCCATGCACACTCAAAAACGCGCACCACCATGCAAGCAGAGGCGCGCACTCGCGTGACGTCATCGCACGTCCCCGGAATTCCCTGACAGCGCAAACTGGCACCGAGTCCCGGTACCGGAGCTGCCCCTCCTCCTGGTGGGTTTAGTTCCTTTTCATTTCAATACACAGTGTATTTCGGGCGGACTCGTGACCGACTGTAACAGCGCCATGCAGTATTACCGTGAGCGTCTATTTATGGATGAGGAAGAGTACCACACATAGCCTATTTACGCAGACAGATCAGTATCACAGTGTTATGATTAGATTGAGTGCACTATAAATAGGCCCAGGTGTCGCTATAGTGGCTAAATGTTCTGGATTAAACATATGAATGGGTTATAACATCAGTTAGATAGTATATGGGGTTATAAAGCCCACACACTGCATCATACATAATTTATAAATAGATTTGTATATGGAACCCTGTTCTCAATTTAGATTAACTGGGAGACATTGGAAAAAAAAATCTACACTACTAAACGGGCACCTTTCATAAAGGGTTTATAAACTGTAATTAATGACTTTATGAAAATGAATAAACATTTACCTAATGGTTTATAGATCTGTTAAAGGCAAAATGAGTAGACTTATAATAAAATAATCCTTCTCAACCATCTCTTATGACCCATTACAAGTGTGTGGTGGTGTCTGTATCTGCAGAGCGGTGTTCAGGATGTCTATAGGAGGTCAACCTCCAACAATCGGGTGACAGACCGTCAGCACGCATCATGAAACTATGAGAATGGCGGACATAGAACAGAATAAAACCCTCATTTGTGTCAACTATGATTCATTGGATGTATGGTTTAAGCTTTGCACAATCCTTAGTAGACAAATAGAGAGTGATCTTTAAATGCTGAACAATATCTAACATCTAATGTATTAAAAATGATTGCAGTACAGTACAAGAATGTAAATAAAGTTAGAGTTAAGCGGTTCATTTATGTTTGATTCATGTCCGGTAGGTTAAATTCTTATCTTACTTTTCATAACTGTGCACATGGAATGTGTGAGGTCCAGACAGGGCAACAGTAGATGAAAGAACATATCTGTACAAGACTAATATACTGGCAGCCAGCTAAAATTCTGTGTGAGATAAATAAGGCATGAAAAAACGCAAGTGAGTCTTTCCAAGGCCGGAAACATTTGCTCCAGCTTTTCCCCGCCAAACTAACCATCCTGTACTCTGTAATAATGCCAAAAGCCATACTGGTATGTAACCAACAGTATGTGTCATACGTAAACACAGACACGCACACACACGCACACACTTGTAGAGGTTATATTTAGAAAGCACTGCCTCAGCAGGACAGGGGTCCTAAATTAGCTGCTGCAGGGAGAATGGGAATGTGTCATGGATTATGCTGAGAAGATGACATGAGGACACATGCAGTTTATTTATGGACATAACAATTCTAATAAAAAAAGAAACATGATAAAACCTCTCTGCCTCAGTCTTTTACAACAGGTTACTCAGTCTTTTTTGAGATAACTGAAGGCTTTTCTATTAGCAGGCAGTGAAGAACCACAAGAGGTGTGTCTGTTCTACATTCAAACCCCTGATGAAGTAAGTGCATGGCGTGTGTACCACCATGGTGGATCTGGAATCTATTGTCAAAGGCACAATGAATGTTCAATAATGTGTTTTGTGTTGAGAAAGAGGAGGAAGCCAGCACAGTGGGGGTCTTTATGACACTTGGAGTCAGTGTGCTTGTTTATGGATTCTCTGTTTTTGTTTGGTAAAAGGCTGTGTGGAGAAATCGGGAACGTCTTGGGACAGATATATATTTCATACAGTAGTATAGTGTGTGTCTGCAATAATGGAAGTGTTAATATTATCGGCAAATGTGCCGGCAAAATTGAGTAAATCGAGTGGGCACTTTCATTTCTAAAATACTGTGAAGCTGAAAAAGTTCTGGCATGTATTTCTTAAATGTTAATGTAATTAAATCCAAGATGATGTAATTTCATACTCCAGCCAGCATCCATTATGTTATAATCATTATATACTGTGTATTATAATACATCAAGTCAGCTGGAGAGACTTTTTAATAACATCATCTGGAAGCTATTACACTCTGAATTGCTGCAGTCCTTAATTACCAGTTGTAAAGTAGTTATGTAGGTAGCCGGTATATTATCTGCTTCTCACGGTTGTTTATGTAGTCCATTCTATTTCTGCACGGGTCTCTCCTGCACAAAAATAGACCAACAGTACAATTTATGCAAATGCTACGTTCCTCATTTTGCTGGGTGTGTTGAGTTATGTTTTTTTGCATCTGAAGATGTATTGTATTCTCATATTGCAAGTGTGGGACTTTGCTTGTGTGTATGGGTGTCAATGTATTTGTTTGTGTGTGTCTGTTTTGATGTATGTATGTGTGTATGGTTGCACTATACAGAGTGTGGTGGGAGACCATTAGCCCTTAAAAGTGAACGGGAAGAGGATTGCTGATTGATGTGGTATGGGTGGGACTCTAGTGTACCACACACACTGCCCCCCACACACAGCTTCCTCCAGCTGTTTCTCTCGTAGATCTAGTACACTGTATATAATAAGAGTCTGAGAATATTAAATGTATGTCTGCGCTCAATTCCCCTCCTTCCTCTCCCACAACAAGGGAGGCATTACGGTCTGTCCCGGGGGTCCCAAATGTGTTTGTGTGAGCAGCAGGAAGGGAAATAACTGGGGAAAAAGATTTGCAAAGCACTGTGTGTTTAAGTTCTTACAGCTTTCATGCATGGCTAGCAATCCTGTATTCACGCATGTGGAAGAGAGACAGACATGGGTATGTGTGTGTGTGGTGGGGACTTTGTGTGTGTAATTAAAGAGATTGGGGACAAGGACGGCACAGTTCTCACACTCCAAATATATATATTTAGCTGCTCTCCCATGGGTACGAGCCCCGCAATTCCTGTCATACCAGGAACGCACACACATAAAAAATAAATAAACAGCATGTAATACTGATGAGGTCCAGACAGTGCAACAGTACAGGAAAGAAAGTATGAGTGGGTGTGTGTGTGCTGTGTCCATGGTACAGATGGTACTTCTCACCCCCTGATATGGAGGCTCGTGAGGGGAGTGTGTGTGTGTGTGTGTGTGTGTGTGTGTGTGTGTGTGGCATACCGTGAGTCAGCCTTTTGGGTACACTGAGAGACCGACAGACACGATAATAATCACCTCCACACATACTCACACACCACACCACGAGGAGACATACAGCAGACAGACTGGCTCAGCACACCCACATACGGCAGCATGTAGCCGGCTAAAGGAGAGCCTGATGATTAGGGCCCTTATTCAAGGAGAGAGGGGCCGATAGGGAGCCCGGCTCTCCCTGTAGGTCTTCAAACAACCGGCTAATCCCGACTGTAGCGCTATGATAAGCTAAGCACTCCAGTCCCGATTAATATACTCACTATCCCAAAGTTATACATAGTGAAAAGTCAACTCCACTTAGAGGTGCTTAGAAAGCTCAGATGGCTCTTAAAGGAGTACATCACATTTTCAGCAGATTGTCTAATTGGCGTATTTTACACTTTAAAAGGTGAACAGATGGACACAAAATCATCAATGTGTCCTATTACATTTTTGCACATCATTGACATTTCGCTTTCTAACTCACACCCTCTTTTTCTCAACCCACTGCCTTCTTTTTGAATGAATGTGTGTATTTTACTCCCACTCTTGTGTTACTCACTCTCTTTTGACATATCTTGCCCTCTGGCTCTAACCCTAACCACCACAAAGGTGTGTGTGTGTGTGTGTGTGAATGTGTGTACATACATGTTTATGTGTACTTAGGTATCACCGGATAATAAATATATATAAGAATACAATTAGAAGCTGGTCAAACCCAATTTCTCACAATCAAAAGTGATGTCTTTATATTTCTTGTTTTTTCAGCTAAATAAAATGATTAAAAAAACAAAGAAAAGCATTAAAATCTCCATTATTGAGAGGCTGAAAACAGCATTTTTCTACCAATTCGATTGAACTTATTTAATGATTCATAGTTGGCAATAATGGTCAACTAATTGTTGCAGCTCTGCTTTGAAATAACGCAATTGTTATTTTAAAAGCATACAATAAACACTATGTATGTATATGCTTAGGCATTATTGTGCGTATGTGGCTGAAAGAAAGGATGGTAAGATAGACACAGAGGAGGTGAGGTAAAACCAAGGGAGAGAAAACTAAGAACGCTAAAAGAGAGCCTTACCTGGTGATCAAGTGTAGTGTAGGCGGTCTCTTTCAGCATGCCACCATGACACCTCCCAGCTCCTGAAAACACAACATGGAGGAACAAAGGTCAGTCTGGAGGTCGAACAGTCAGCAGCAGGGAGGAGCTTCACAAAACTACATTGAATATTTGTTGGTTACTTAACCAGCATTCACGCATAACAGAATCAGTCACTGAGGACTGAGCAAACATAAGGTTTCCCTTTTATGTGTGTTTTTGGGACAATGGACCGTTTCTATTCTCAACTTTTGTCAAATCTAGGTCAAACACGTCTGGCATATTCCAGTGTGAGTTGAAGCAATGGTCAGCAATTCATCAGCACTTTATTTAAGGGTCAGAGGATAAACACGTTCTGCCTGACAACAGGAGTTTGTTTTTTTGTAATTCCATTGGCTCGTTTCATCATGCATGTGTGATGTTTGCTGACTGTTCTGTGGTCATGATGTTGTTGATATGTAATGTTGTGTGGCCTATGAAACCACAATGTGTGTGTGGGAGTGACAGCCAAAATGCACAGCAGAGCCTGGACCAGCGCTGTGGCCATCTGTGTGTGTGTGTTCCTTATGTGCCGCCTGTTCAGTGAGTCACAGTGTCAGTGCGGGGCCACATGACTGAGAACAGGTGGCACTCTGGTGTACCTACCCACCCCCAACACACACATAAAAACACACACACACCTCAGCTTGCACCCTGAGA